TCCATATACTTGATCCTTACTTCTTCCACTGCCTGCTTGCTATTGGGGTTATAACGCTGAGACAAATTGGCTGTTAAGCTTGTTAGAAATGGCCTTAGTTGGTAGAGTGTGTATGCCTCAGCAGAATGACAAGCTAGCGTCTAAGAGTTATCATTCAGATGTAAATATGTATTTATATGCAGGAGTCTTTTTCTTGGCGTCACCTTTGCAAATTCAGGGATACCCTAAATGTAATAATCTTTCCAATACTCTGTATGTGATGACAAATAATGGATGCTCATGGCAATTATCAACCTAGAAAGGAAATCTCCCTAAAGTCAATTCCCTCGACAAGGGGAATTTCTTTTCCACTTGGACTCTGAACTGCAGACCTGTTTGTTTCTCAAACAGTTTAAGTCAGCATGCAGTTGTTAACAAGGAGAAAGTAATCCTGTGGTGACATTTGAACTCAGGAAGTGCTTCTGCATCGCGAGGTGCTTCTGTCCACTACAAACCACTAAGACAATAGTTGTTTGGCCTCTCTGGTGCTCTTACATCGCCATTATCCACCTCCTCTTTTTTATCCTCAATGATGTTTCTCAGACCAATTTTGTCATTATCTGGCTCCTAAAGTAGCTTTGTCCTTTTTATTTTTCAAATCCTTTAATGTCAGAGTCAAAACCACCTTCCAGAATAGAGGAGTTTCTAGCAAAATAATTAGGTGTCCTCTCTCCCTCTCTTATTTCGATCTACAAACATTACGCGATTAACATTGCTGATCCTAGCAATATGCAGGACACATGTCATATGAACTTTCACTGCGTGAAATAATCCGAATACTGTCCCTTATGTAGATCTTATACAGTCAGTACACAAAGTCGTGTACGGCATCTATAAGGAGGTGTCATGATGTTTAAGGTACTGTTTAAGGATCAGTATACGTCAGGCTATGCCAAGAAAATAGCAGGATCTTATACACTTGTAGCAGGATTTCTTATACGCCAGTACTCGTTTCAGTATGTTGTATACTGAAGGAATTATAAGGTATACTGATTTTCTGTGGAAACCTTTTGTTTGTTGCGTTTTCTGTCTTTTCGCTGCGCTTGTCAAGCCTAAGACAATAACAATATTATAATTAGAAGATGCCGTTGACTTGACTGAAACCGTGAAGTAAATCCAACCCTTAAACAAAAATAGGTACCCAACGGGTACTTGTGTCTGCTGCAATAGGATGGCGTTTTCACAAAGAACAGTGGCATGTTACTCCAGTGATTTTTTTAAAAAAAGGTCCGCTATGCTAACATTTGGTAGTGCAAGGTGTTTCCTGGGAGCGGATAGTTTTATTTTATGCAATCAAGTGTAGTACTTCTGTTTCTTTTATACTAGGGTGTTTTTTTTTTGTTTTTGTTTTTGCCTTGTGTTCACTATGTTGTATGTCCATTAGCATTAATATTTTTCAAAATGAACTGCATGTAACATATAAAGGTATGGAAATAAGTGTACCGGAAAAAATCGTAACGCAGTGGCAAAGACAATGTGGTAATTCAATTGCTTTTATTAACACAACTTATTTTGTTAAACATTAGTAATTCCACATGGTATATTTATGTTGTAATGAACTGTAACGAAACTTAATGGTACTTCAAGAACTGTTTAAGGGGCAATAACTGTAACGGAACTACTCAAAGTTAACGAAATTGCCAAAAAATTGCAATAAAGTGTAATCTAATTAATAGCAACTGAACCACTCATTCAATGTTGTATATTGTTACTTTTTGATCGAAATCATTTACACAATGATTTTAATAGGAATAAACTATAACAGCATTTCTGCCTGTGTATACTGTCTTACAGGCTGTATGTGAGCGTAAATCTGGCATTAATAAAAGAACTTTGTAATTTTGTTTGTACAGGTTTGCACTTCCCACGTTTTTGTTTTCAACCTTTGCCAATGATGAGGGAAGTACATGAACAGCTATTCAAATGATATAGGGAGATACCTCGTTTATGATCTTTGATTTATTGTCATATTTTATTTTTAAGATTGGAGCATCTAAGAGTGCTTCTGTTATCTTTTCTTCATCCAGTGTTTGTGGACGTTGTAAGATATTAAAAACTTTTTTAATTTGTTCTTGGAAGAATGTTACAGTGAACTGGTTGTCATCTTGTGAAACTTTAACTTGTGCAAAACAGTTGGTAATACATTTATCTCTTTTTTGCGTCAGATTACAGTTACCACAATTTACAATCTTGGCAGTAAAAGATCCATCTGCTACCTTTTTGTGGCACTGTAAACATGAAAAGTACTTTCCGAATGTTAGCAGACCAATGACTTCAACCTTGGCCTCTGTGGTTGTAAAAGAATCAGGCTGTTCAACAGACTGGGGTAAGGATTCAATGAAGTCCTCTGCTTCCGACACTGTACAGTCATGCATCGTTGTGCCCAAGGCCAGTTTGTCAGACTTGTATTCTTTTATAACTCTAACGTTATGGAATGTATAAGTTTTTCCTTCACTGACTTCATTTATTTTGTCTTCCCAGAGAGTTAATGTTATTGTTCCGGATGGATCGCTGAGGAAGCATTCAGCTTTACATTTTTCTCCATTCGCTGTAGTTACTTTTTTTTGTACCACTGATCTTTGTAACTTTCGCTTTAATTGTTATCAGCTGTTGGAAGTGGACACCAGAGAGTGACGCTATGTTATTTGTTTGTGGTATTTCTTTTGGTGCGAATGATACCTTGGTTGCGTCAATTCGGACTTTGTTGTCCATAAGTACTGTATTTGATTTAAGATCCATTTGGAAGTTGCTGAGCTTCACAGGGCTCTTTTTTGAACTTCTGGCTTTCAGGTCATCGTGTTTTTTTGTGGCAAAGCATATTGCTCTAACGGTACTATCAGAGCCAGTTTGAAGTAACATTTCAAAGTAGCTTGATTTTGAGCTTTTCTTCACTGGCGATACAGCATGGAGATATCCTGTTAGTTCATGAGGTTTGTCCATGTTAAAGCTGTTGAGAGAAAGAGATTTAAAATGAATACTTTGTAGCAAGATAATAAATTTTAATATATTTTAATTAAAGAAATTGTATTTTTGCGTTGTACATGTAAAGTTGTAATGTAATGTTTAGAGCAAAGTAATACTTGCCTTTGTAAGTTTTAATCAAATGGCGGGGAAAAGAGAGCATTCAGGGTTACTATCCAAAATTAGACAGCAACCTCAAACAACACAAGAAAATTTAAACTACATGTAGCAGTTCTCAATGAGAAATGAGTGCTGCTGTTAGTTGCATGTTTTAATACTACGTACAACACGTGCTATTATTTGTTTATAAAATACAAGGCGAATATCTAATCCTACTGGAGTTATGACGATTGCAGCTCATTTACAGATGTCAACTCGTGCTTTTATTTGTTTATAAAATACAAAGCAAATAACTAATCCTACCCGGCCAAGTTACGACGCTTGGAGCTCATTTACAGATGTGGTATTAAAGCTTCCTTTTGAAACATTTAAGCAACAGAATCCTCTTTTAAGCTCAGTTACACCACACAAAAGAGTTTTATTTTCGATATTTCTAGTTTCTTTGATACTTTTACGGTTAATTTATCGATGGCTTCAAGAATATTGACGGCTGTCTACAGCAGCAATTATGTTCGAATTAATGCACAGATTGCTTTATGATCTGAAAAATATGTTTCTAAAATGTGCAAATTCACCTGTGATTCAGGTAAATTAGTATAAATGTGGTCTATGGTGGTTCTGTTGTCAGTTGTATAACATGATATTAATTGCCTGTAGCTGTTTTCTCTAATGAACAAATTATAAAGAGGAAGTTTCTCTTTTTCATTTAACCAGTTCACATTAAAATCACCCATGAATAGTTTAAATTGGGAACAGTTCATAGTCAGAAGTTCTGTTAATGCTAAACACATCTGTCGTACAGGCACTCTGGGTGACCGATACACACCTTTTATGGTAATTTGTGGTATTTTTTCAAGTTTTACATTAGTTATTTCTACGCCATTTGTGTTCATGCAAACTGGATACCCAGGAATAAAACTTATTTTACTATACACAGCTGTTCCACCATAAGGTCTGGTATTACATGTTGTGCATTGACTGTCATTTCTAAATAAACTGTAGCCACTAATTGTGTATGCAGTATTGCTGTCTAAAGTATATAACCTTGTTTCTGAGAATATACTGACATCAGTATGTGAATAGTTCAAATCTTTGCGTATGTCTTCTATATGTTTATGCAATGATCTTGAATTAAGGAAGCATAACTTAACAGTAGGTTCATGTATTTCATAAATAGGAGTTAAAGAAAAGTGGAGATGCTTTTCTGTCCGTAAGCGTTGCATTTCTGCTTTAACATCATGATTTACAGCTATTTTGTTCTCACAAAGGTCAGTTATGTAAAGCCCTTCTATAGTTGTTACTCTACTTAATCCTACATAATGAATGTGAGGTATTGCTCTCCTGGTGTTAAAGTTAACTACTATTCTTGTCTCAGTGTCACCTTGTGATCTGTGAATGGTTTTAGCAGCTGCAGGTCTCAATGGAAATTGCTTTCTCACAACCTGAGCCGTTCTGTTTCTTCCAACTGCAAATTGTGCAGTGATAGGTTTGATAGGAGTCCATTTGCGTTCAATACCTTGTACAAATAAGTGCCTGTAATCATGTCTAGTTTTTCCTCCTACATGTGCTTGGTCAAATTCTACCCATATTATTCCAGAAGGTCTGTTTTTGTCATGTAATTGTATCTTCCTTACAATATTAGCAGCACCATTTGTCATGCCATCATCAGTCCTTAGATTCACTGCGATTTCTGTTCTTTCACCTTCAGCAAGTTGAAGGTTTAAAGGTAATTGCTTAGTTTTTCTAGGATCAAGTGGTACTTGCTTTAAGATCTTATCCCTTAGTTCTGCAGAGTTAGCACCCACAACACTATCTAAGGCTTTAATTGTATACTTTTCACCAGTTGCAGCCATGTGAACTCACCTATTAAACTCATCAACTTAAGAATTCTGTATGAACAAATGGGGGACATCGATACGGTAATTTGTACAATTTTCTGAAATGCATCTCTCTTTAAGTTTTGCAATGTCTTCTGGAGTGTGATTACCTTCTCTTAACCTGTTAAGAAGTTGAGCAAATTCTTTGCTTTCTCTTTGTCTCATAATTTCTTCTAATTCAAACATTGTATATAGTTCTTGCCACAAGTTGGGAGCAAGAGCTCGATATTCTGAGTTGTTCATATCTTTAAACACATAACCATCCATAACAGGTTCTAACTGAAATAAATCACCAAGTGCTATCATGCTTACACCTCCAAATGGTTCTTTGCTGCCCATAATATCTTTTAATCTGTTATTTATTTGTACATTAAACATAGTATTGCCAACCATTGAAATTTCATCCAAAAATATTAGTTTCACTGCACGAAGTTTACATCTCAGAGTGTTAAGTCTACTTGAGTCAAGAGGTTTATAAATCTTTAGTGACTGGCTTGCTGGAATTGCCAAGGTACTGTGTATTGTATTACCTTGTATGCCAAAAGCAGCTTTTCCAGTTGGTGCTACTAACAGTATTTTAACATCATTGAAGTCTTCACCAGCTCTGGAGTTGTAATATTTTAGTGCTGCTTGATAAAGACATTTGACCAGATGGGACTTGCCCACTCCAGCTCCTCCAGAGAGGAAATAGTAGAATGGTTTGTCTGATGTTTTAACAATATGCAAGATATGATAAAAAAAATTCCTTTTGCTTTTGATTTAGTGTTTGCACCAATTGTCTGTACTCTTGGTCTTGTAATTCATTTAGTATCAGTGGTTCACTAGTTTCTATTGCTGAAGGAATTCCAACATCTTCTGATAAATCATAGTTTTCATTGAGATCAGGATGCAAATCTTGAAGACCCTCAGCCTCATCCTGGTATTCTCTGTTTTGTGTAAATGGTGCTATTGAGTCAAAATGATCATTGTCTTCATCAAGATGAATCAAGTGTTCATGGATTTTGTCTAAGTCTTCACTGCAAACAGCATATAGTTTCATTTGCTTATTTATACTATCTTTTACATTTATGAAACGTTCTTGGTAGGAGGAACAGTTAGCTAACAAATCAGTGTCCTCATTTCTCCATGACGTAAACAGCATTATTAATTCACGATAATGTTTTTCTGGATCTTTTTCACAGTTATACCAAACACTTCTTATAATTCTAGCCTTTGATCTTTTTTTGTTACTTTTGGGATTGATGAGATTATCCTCAAAAAGGTCATCGTCATTTTGTTCATCATCAGCTGTTTCTAATGGAAGGTTATCAGAATCTCTTTCGAATGATTTTTTTGCATATGGTTTTCCACATGAGTCATACCATGCAGCCCAATCTGCCAATGTTAAGTATTCAAGGCTTAAAGGGCGTTTTGCATATCTTTGCAAAAGACCATTGGTATATACATCTTCACAATCATCATCCATTTCTTCAATGTCATTTATTGATTTTAAAAGCTGAACTCTTTCATTAGGAGGAGTGGTATTTATGAATATTACTTGACGAGAAGACTTCTTCATAGGAAGCTGTAAAACAATGTAAACAGCTTCTTGTGCACTTATCTCGACACTGTTTAAAAATTTGTTTCCAATGTCTCGGACTTGTAGCTTTATGCTAGAATTTCCTTTTCTGGCTTCAGCACATGCTTGTCGTAAAAGTTCACTCACTCCTTTTTGTGCTTTAGAAATATATGAAACTATGTACATGGCACATGCATACACATCAAGTACAAACTGGATATCCATGTTTGCTCTCCACGCCTCGAGGGAAGCAGGATTATAGTTGCTTATTCTTAACTCATTCGGTTTTCTTTTTAAAAACACAGTTGGTGAATTTAACGATGACCTCACAGCTAGTCGATATTCATTTTCAGTAACTTTTAATTTGACAAGTAGTTGTTCAAATGTTATAGGTTCGCCTTCTTTCATATCATTTAATTGCTTGTTGATTATTTTCCAAGTGTCTTTGTGCTGTTTTATTTTATTTTGTGGCATGTCTGCTTCTAAAGGGTAAAGAATTTCAGTTGCTCTCATAGGAGGTTGTGGATAGTTAAATCGACATTCATTCTTTGACTTTTCTCTACAAGTGTGACAATGCCTGTGAATTTGCCTGTTCACTAGTTTATGTAATTCTGTGTTATCAACTGGCCACTGACAACTAATTATTTTATCAATAAAGTCTGTAACGGCAGCATCGTCGTCGACTCCAAATACTGGTGCATCTTCAAGCCATATAAGCATGTGTATGTGGGGTGAGCCCCGCTGCTGGTATTCTACTCGGTAAAACCAGTCAGAAATTTTGCCTAATGGTTGAGCTTTACCAAAAAGAAAGTTCGTGAGAAATTGACTAATTTGATAATCAAAATGTCTAGCCCATGTCACTGGGTCACTTTGAATAAGCCTGCATTTCTCATCCCAGGTCATATTTTCAAGCTCACTGGTAGTGTAGTCTTTGTGATCAACTACCTGGCCAAGTATTCGAAGGAAATGTATCCATTGTGTTTCTGCTGAAGAAAAACTACAGAATATAGAAGATGGTCCTAATTGTCTAATCATTGCAAACAAATCTTTCTTAGCCTTTTCAAAATATGGTGGTGAACCTCTTAATGCTCTCAAGAATTGGAATCCTTCATCAAGATGAATCAAGCGCTCTATTGCTCCTTCACATTTCAACTGTCCTGCATTTAAAGATCTATTATTTCCTTTGCACTTCCTAAGAGCAACTTGTGATTTCCCTAACATAATTTTCATTTGAAGTTTTTTTGTTTTAAAGAATATGTTTTCAACACACATAGCAGCTCTCCTATCTGAGCGTCTTAGTTCAGATTTACAGATGTCGCTATAATGAACGTTAACTAGTCTATCTTTATTTTCCGGCCGACCTTGACCAAGGAATATACCAGGATACGCTAATTCTTCAGAATATTGATCTCTGAATATACTTAGGGGTTTGGTTCCTTCTCCTGGTGCAACATTTAATATATGTTGAGGCTCACTGTCTTCAACAAATTCTGTGTTCGTCAACATGGTGTCAGTAACACCAGCAGGTATTTCTGCCTCATCTTCAGTCCACTGATCATCACTATCAGTGACATCACTTCCACTAATATTACTTTGCTTATTGCAGCTACTGGTGTTTTGTATTTCTTCTGATTGTTCATTTTGATTTTCAGGATTAGTTTCACCTAATAAACTGTTTACTCCCCAGTCTTGATTTACAGTTATTCCTTCCTGTTTGTAGAGAGTGCTGTTATTAACTAGCCAATTGGCTGCTTGAACAACTTTATGTGGCCTTATATTGAGAGACAATGCTGAGCTTTTGTATTGCAATTTTCTCTTTAAATTGACTTTAATTGTACCAGCATCATTGGGTAACCTTGGTAAGATATTGACAGTATCAGTTACTTCTGCTGGGACATTTACAACATTTCCATGTATTTTGAATTGCCTTCCTCTTGGAGCTTGCATTAATTTTTGAAATGCAAGTCTTGGAGCTACAAGCCTACATTCCAGTTCATTGAGGTCAAAAAATTCAGGTTTTATTGGAAAACTCATTCCATTCAATATGGCAAGGGGTGGTGTTGTGTCGTCTAGACTCAGTCAAGTTACTTCTTTCATTGCTATTGCTGAACTGAATTTTATTAAAGAATCAACAAGCTATATTCACAATACAGTACTAGGAATCAGTAATACTACTTTTACATAGGAATGTACTTTTACAATCATGTACCGATCGTGTCTTACAGGATATAGCGTGACTATAGTAACGCTTAGGTAACGCAATACACTACATCCTTCCCGGACAAAGTTCAAAGGTTTCTATTTCAAAGTTAATTAAAGATAATCATTTTCAACTGTTTTAATCAGCTAATAATATACGAAGTTCTCGTTATCTTGTGTAGACTTCACTACACGTCCGGACCTAGTCGTGACATTGCCTTTATTCTGAGAGGCTTGATCATCGGAATGATCACTTTCCATACGAGCATCAGAATGTTTGTGAATGATCTCACTAGATTCAACATTCGCTGAATCACTAGAACTACTAGACCCATTACTTTTGTTTGTTGCTAGTATCTACGATTTCTTCATTCTCATTTGTGGGTGCGCGCTTCAAGTATTTTGCATTTCGAATAAGAGTGGTACCAGTTGCTGCGTTGACCAAGGTAAAAGTGTCTCTCCCCCGGGACTGAATGATAACATGCTTAGCCGGGTGAAATTGAGAATCTAACTTTGCTGGCTTCATGTTTGCGCAAAATACGATATCGCCGATTTTAAAGTTGTGCGGCGTTGCGTTATTTTTCTTGTCGTGATAATCTTTCATGCGCTCTTGATATTTGTGACATCGAGAACGAAGCTCTTCGTCAGTTTGGCTGGTCTGATTTGACTCGACATGTGGAACTTTCATACGAATTTCTCGATTGAACAACAACATAGTGGGTGATTTCCCACTAACAGGATGAGGAGTCGCTCGGTAAGACATAAGAATTTTGGGTAATTCCTTTTCCCATGATTTGCCTTCCGATATTGCAGCACGAAAATTTTTTTTAAGGTACCGATGAAATCGCTCTAATTTTCCATTGCTTCTAGCAAAATACGGCGAAACGCGAGTATGCTTGATACCGCATGTTTTCAGAAAGTTTTCAAATTCTGCGCTTACAAATTGTTTACCATTGTCAGAAACCAACTCTTCTGGAAAACCAAATCTGGCAAAAATATCTGTCAGAACTCGAATGACCTCACGAGAGGTGATTTGTCGCAGTATGTGCGCCTCCGGATATGACGAATAATAATCGATGTATGTCAAAATAAATTTCCCGTTTACTGGACCAACGATATCCACTGCGCCCTTTACCCAAGGACCACGAGGTAACGATGCGGGCAGGAGAGGCGTGTACTTGTTTAACGGTTGATTTAAAATACATGCACGACAATTTTTAATCATTGCCTCTGCTGCGCTGTCCATTCCAGGCCAAAAGAATCGTGACCTGAGAAACTGTTTAGTTTTGACAATTCCCTGGTGCGTCTCATGCGAGAGCTTAAGAATTTTCTTTTGCAGTGACGAAGGAACAACAATTCGATTTCCTCTGAGAATAACTCCTTCATAAATAGATAATTCATCCTTAACTGCTTTAAACGGTTTCAGTTTTTCGTCGCGCGACCACTTGCAATCTTGAATATGCTCGATTAATTTGGACAAAGTGTCATCTCTGCGTGTTTCGCGGCTCATCTCGGCAAGAGTGACAGCTTGCAGGTCTAACATGTTGGTGTCATAAACAAACCTAACATAATTCTCGCAAACAGTTCCGCTATCGGTGTAGTTTTCACACTTCGAAGGAAGTCGAGACAGTGAATCTGCAGTGTTGTCCTTTCCCGATACGTGTTGTATATGGAAATTGTACTGATGCAATCTCCAGGCCAAACGTTGAATTCGTGGTGGCAGGACTTTGCTGGACTGCGGATCAAACATGCTGGACAGAGGTTTGTTGTCAGTAAGTAGCGTAAAATTGATTCCGAACAAATAATTGTGCAGGCGTTCGACTGCCCATACGCATCCAAGTGCTTCGCGTTCGATTTGCGAATATCTTCGTTCGGTGGGCGTAAGTGATCGACTTATGTAGGCGATTGGTTTTCGCTCGCCGTTAGTTTGGTCTTGAAGCAGGATTGCTCCTAAACCTACTGGACTAGCATCGGTGATCAAATACGTAGGAGAGTTTAAGCGAAAACATGCGAGAACGGGCTCGCAAGACAACACTTCCTTAAGGGCTTCGAATGCCTCTTTTTGCTCCTTTCCCCACGAAAATTTTACTTCGCTCCAAGTTAACTTTCGCAAAGGTTCCACGATGTTCGCGTAATTCGGTATGAATTTGGAAACATAACCGCACGTTCCAAGAAATGACCTAAGATCTGATACATTCTTTGGCGGTGGTGTAGCTTTTATTGCTTCGCACTTTTTCGGATCCGGCTTAATACCATCAGCAGATACTACATGGCCTAACACCGAAATCTTGGTAACGCCGAATTCACACTTGCTTTGATTTAGCCTTAAGTTGTTCGCACGACATCTCTCGAAAACTTTACGGAGCCGGTTAATGAGTTCTTCCATTGTCACAGCGTGCACAATGACATCGTCGATAGAGATTTGAACTCCGTCGATTCCGAACAAAATTTGTTCCATCATCTTTTGGAAAGCTTCGCTTGCATCACTAAGACCGAACATGGTTCGTACGCTTTTGACTTTCTGACATTCCATGACTTTCCATGACTTTTTCCATGACCTTTTCCGATTTTCCATGACCCAATTGTTCAAATTATTTTTCTCAATATATACTTACAGTACCATCAATTCGTTTTTTCCTTGCATGTTAACCAAATTGTAGAAAAGAAGAAGATGCTAAGACCAGTTAAATTCATACGTATAACACGGAATCTTTATTTCCGTGCAACAAAATGACACAAGTGCAACAACACGACGTAAACAGATACTTTTTTACTAAACTTTACAGTCCAGAACTATATCTTTTAAATTTCCTAAGATAAACTTTACAGTCCAGAACTATATCTTTTAAAATTTCCTTATAAAACTGTACAGTCCAGAACTATATCTATTAAAATTTCCTAACAAAATCTATACAATGCAGACTTAATTTCCTAACAAAATCTGTACAATCCAGAACTATATCTTTTAAAATTTCGTAACAAAAACTGTATAATCCAGACTTAATTTCCTAACAAAACCTGTACAGCCCAGAACTATAAAATCTTAATTTCCTTACAATACAGTCATTGTTTCAGTGTTCACAATTGCAGTATGAGGTTTCAGTTTTCATCTACAATATAGAAAAATATATGAGTGCATCCTTGTATGAACAAATCTATTTGTTCAATGGTTAAATGCTTGCAATTCTGGTAAATAACTTCAAGAAAGCAGTACTTTTGGACAGGTTGTCACTCGGACTTATTTATCACACTCTTCCAATTCCTTGTTTAAGTTTTCTAGTTCTATCTTCTTCTCCTTTGCTGCATTTCTGAGTGCATTTGATTCGGTTAACAAGACGAGCTGCCTCTTCACCTCAGCCTCTTTAGCTAATTTGTCAGCATCAAACTGTAAGGTGGTGATCTCTGTTTCAAGTCTCTTCTTTTTCTTCTGGAAATCAGCTTTTGCTTCATCCACAGATTTTCGTTTGTGGCTTTTGGCAACATTTTTCGCAAGCTGTCGCTGCTCTTCAAGATGGGCGTGATACCGCTGTCTTCCTGCTTTAGCAGAGGTAAGAAGCTCGTTCGAAATGACCAATTTATGAAATCCATCAATACTCAATATGTGGTCATGAATGGTGCGTTGGGCAACGAAAGTGGTCTCCTTCATATTCTCAATCATTAGCTGTCGGTTAACGGAAAATCCCCTTTCTACACTTGCTTGCCCATGTGAGAGACACAAGAGGAATTTCACAACGTCCCACAGTTTGGAAAGTGAACCGACAAGACCAATGTGTTTTTGGAGAAATGCATCCAATCTCTGATCTGTAAAGTCAAAGTCTTCAAACTCAGACTTGTGCACCTGTGTAGCCCGTTCCGTAAATTCACTGTACTGTGACAACAAAATGTCACAATCATGAATATCAACCCTCTTGCATTCTACCAATTTCTTGAGGACAATCTTGAACCTCGCACAGCTTGCTTCTTTCTCTGTCACAATATGAATCGGATCCAAACAGCACAGGTTCCTGGCAAGGGAATAGGCAATTGGGGTCTTCTCAATAAGTTTTCCAACTGTAGCTGTAAGGAACGACTGGAATTCCTTCCTAAATTCATATGTCTGACGATCACTGATTTTCTTGGCTGCTTGCAATTCTTTCAGCTTCGTGGCAGCAACAAAACCAACATCCAACTTCTCCACGTCAAGGCAATTCTCCCTCTTCTTGAAGTCAATCTTCAGAAGCTTTACTGCAGAGCTGGCACCCTGGAGTACATCAGCTTTGACGAACCTTTTCATGAGACCACGAATCACCTTCTCTAGACTGCTGGCCACAAATGGTAGAAGAGGGCTGTCGCTTTGGAACTGTACCAGAAATGGTTGCAGCTGTTTAGCCACTGACTCAAAAGCAGCAAATTTGAGAGGCATTAGTGGATCTTGGGTTGAATCTCTTATCGTCTTGTAGGACTTTGAAGTTGGCACACTATATTTGCTGCTACGTTGCACCGTTGTCACATAGAAAGTGACTTCTTTCCATATTTCCTGGGCCCGTACTACAACTGGCAGGTTCTCCAGCCATCTGTGCTTGCAGTACTTAATTGGAAATACAACACTGCTGGTTATTTCTGTGTAATCCTCTCTTCGTGCTGGTGAATCCACAAATAACCAATGAAGAGAAGACAGAACTTCCTGAATGCTCCAAGTAGATGCCTTTGATCCAGCTTTGAAAGCATTGTGTACAATGTGAAGTCCACAAGAGCCTACGTTAACTAAGATGGGTGCGTTTTCGTCAACCTCAGAGATCAGTTCCTGGAATAGCTCATGCAGTTTCCAATTCACGTTAGGCCCGTCCATTGACAACTGCAATATGTTGGACTTCTGAATCTTGATACTATCAAGGTAGCTAACGATCTTTTCCAAAAGGTCGTCGGCTGTAGCATGTCCCAGAAATACAGAGGTTAGGTACCTTGTCTGCACTCTGGAGTTCTTTGCATCCCAAAACCTAACATGCAGATCCATCTGCTTGGTTTGGGTAACTTTATTGTGCGATTCATCAAAAAGTAAAACAAACAATTCAAGTTTTGTGACTTCATCCGTAAGCTTACGTTGGAAATAGGGTGCTATGCCAAAACAAGCTAAGTAAGCACATTTTTTCTCGCCACAGGAAAACTTGCTGGCTATCTGGCTGTCCGGAAACATACGTTTAAATAGTTCTGGAATGTCCTCACAGCTCTTGTAACTATAGTGAGACAAGATTACTTTCAGTGCCCACAAAACTTCTGCAGCAAGTGTCTCATTTGAAGCCACATAATTTCTTATATCACCGGCACCGGAAGAACATGGCTGTTCAGAGCGTCCTACTTCATGTGAACCACGCTGGCTTCCAACAGCAGGTAAAAAGTTTCTGAGGCTGGCATTGCTACTCTCGTCTAAAATCAAATTAAAAAATGTTTGTTTATGAATATCGTCAAAAATGAGCCCTAATTAAATGAATTTACTGTCACAGAAATCCTGGAATCTCAAAATTTCACAATAGCCTCATCGAAATTGCAATCCACTTATAAAAATAAACCATATTTTACAGGCGCCACAACAGAACTGAAGGAGGGGGGGCTGAAGCCATAATTAATCCCAATGCTGAGCCACAAATGTCAAGGAAAAATAAAAACTCACTTTTAGTTTATTAGTGTTGTATCGCATAGTATTAACTATTGTATAAATTTTGTATTAATAAATAAAGATGCGCTAAATAAAAAAATATGAAATGGCCGTTTTGCTAGTCCCTCATAATACATTAACTTTATATCTGAAATTTAATATACCTCCGAGTTTAGTCCCACCGGCCCCCAACCACCCCCCCCCCCCCCTGCAGCCTCTCAAAAACTCAAAAGAACACTCTTGCCTAAACATCGGTACAATCCATGCATTATCTTTGTCATCCCGAAATTAAAAAGACATTTATTTATATTCTGTCGCTTTAGATGACAAATTCTTTTGTTCTGTTTGATTATTTTGCCGATTCTTATTACACCACAGCACTTAAATCTATGTTATACCCAATACAGGCTGCATCCTAAATGAATCACGAGTTGGTACAAATATCGAGACAAATATCTAACGCAAACATGCATTTTCTTGTCTTGATGCAAACTTTAAATTCTAGTAAATTCAAATTTGAACACACAAACGTACCTTTAACAGCATCGACGTGCTTCTTCGATTTCATGTGGCTTTTCACTGCTGCTTCTCCCATATTTTGAACAGCGAATGTCTTTTTGCATGCTTTACATTTTGCCTCTGACGAAGAACTCCCGCGTTCTATCCACTTATTATACTGCGGGTTACTCAGCCAAGCATCTTGGAATTTGCATTTTCCAGGCATTATATATTAAATCTGCTTGAATGATCGCTCAAGCTCATCTTTACCTCGTGGCAGGCCTGGTCGCATGGCGATGCTGGGACTCGGCCCCAGGTCTCAGCAAAAACGTATCACACGGTATCGGGGGAAAAATGCGCGTTTGTCGTTGCAAACACGTAAACAAGGAATAGTTTATTAAACAAAAACTTGTGAAAGCAAGGAATTTTCTTTATTTTCATCTCGGTTTTTGCAAAATGTCAAATTATAACAATTTTCCATGACTTTCCATGACTCTGATCGAAATTCCATGACTTTCCAGGCCTGGAATTTTTTTTTCGAAATTCCATGACTTTCCAGGTTTTCCATGACCCGTACGAACCCTGCCGAAGGGAGTACGCTTAAACCTAAAACAACCACGAGGCGTGATGAAGGTAGCGATGTATCGCGACTCTTCAGCTAGCGTAAGCTGAAAAAAATCACTCTTCGCATCGATTTTTGCAAAATACTTCGAACCGTGCATAGCTTGCAAAGTGTCATCTACCTTAGGTAATAGGTGTCGTTCCCTAATTACAGCCTTATTTACTTCCCTGAGGTCACAACACACTCTTATTTCCCCCGATTTCCTTGGGACGATTACTAAATTAGAGACCCATGGGCTGGCCTCTGTGACCTCCTCAATGATGTCATTTTCGAGCATCTTGTCTAGCTCGTTGTTAACTGCTTCAATTTGGCTAAATGGTATACGCCTTAATCGTTGACTAACAGGTTTGACGCTAGAGTCAATAGCAATTTTGTGCTCAAAGTTGGCAACTTTACCTATCCCATGAAATATTTCGTCAAATTCACGTAGTAAAGAATCTAATTCACTATTTCCACTAGTCTTAGGAAAACTTGGCTTGTCTTGAACGAGGTTTACACTAATTATCTCTAAATTGAAACTTGAATCCCTCCCAAGGAGTGACTCTGAATGCCCTTGTATAACATATACATTTGCTCTTATTTCTTTCTTTCCTACTTTGATAGTGGCAGTAAAATAGCCTTTGCAATTTAATGGATCTTTCTGTCCATAAGCAATAAATCGCTTTTTGCTTGGTCTGAGTTCATGAGACTTAAATTTAGCATTGAACAATTGTGACGAGATAATATTGTACTTACATCCGGTGTCATCTATCATGCGGATCTTTTGTCCGTCCATTTTCACTTGGACTGAACTGTCCTCATTGTTCATTGAGAATACAGGCTCATTCTCGTCCGCGCTTTCCTCACTGAACCATTCTGCCGCTTTGAGGTTTCGAACTTTCCTGTCCGTCTTCTTGGGGTTCTTTCGTGACTTTTTCCCTTGTTTCCGGTTTGCTTTCTGATCTTGCTTGCTTGATTTGCAGACCCGGGCAAGATGACCCACTTTCTTGCAGAAATTGCATCTCGAGTTGATCGCACCGCATTCGTTAGGACTGTGACCATCCAATCCGCCACATCTGTAACAGATGAACCTTTTTTCGTCCGCTCCATCGGTAGGCTTTTTGGCGTTGACTTTGTCGACTGGTATGGGGTCTTCCTTGGTGCCCTTTGTATTCATGCTGGCATCTTTCCTTGACGATTCTTCGCTCCTGGCCACTTTCATCGTTTTCGTCAGGTCCAGATCGTCTTGAGTCAGTAACTTTTGTCGAAGGCTTTTCGACGCGCACTTTTCAACGATCTGGTCCCTTATCATCTCTTCTTCGAGTGTACCAAACTCGCACGATTTTGCAAGTTCTCTGAGTGCTGTAAGGTAGCTATCTATCGGCTCGTCTGGCCTCTGTTCCCTGGATCGGAACTTGTACCTTTCAGACACCACGTTTCGTTTTGGCGCAAAGTAGTTTTGAAGAGCTAGTTTCGCATCTTCAAGTTTTTTATGTTCGCCAGGCAGGGTTCTGAAGATCTTTTGCACAGCGGGCCCAAGGCAGTGCAGGAAGGTCGCTCGCTGGACTTTGTCGTCCTTGTCGGAGAGCTCGGAAGCCACTGAGTATATATCAAAGGAACTCACCCAGTGCTGCCATTCGCAGTACAAGTCGGCTGCGTCGATATTGAACGGCTGTGGCGTAGAAAGTCCCGTCCGTTCCATCTCAAGGAGTACGTTATTGGCTTTTAATCCTCGTCGCCAGTATGTTGTGTCGTCTAGACTCAGTCAAGTTACTTCTTTCATTGCTATTGCTCAACTGAATTTTATTAAAGAATCAACAAGCTATATTCACAATACAGTACTAGGAATCAGTAATACTACTTTTACATAGGAATGTACTTTTACAATCATGTACCGATCGTGTCTTACAGGATATAGCGTGACTATAGTAACGCTTAGGTAACGCAATACACTACAGGTGGAACTTTATTCTTTGCTAAGTAATTCTGACAAGTTCTACATAGCCACTCTTTATTGTTGACACTTTTTGTTTTTAAAAGATATTTTTCAGCAGCAGGGTTTGATTTTCTTATTTTAGTAGCTGGGTAAACACTGTGTTTATACCACAGCTGATCACAACAACTACAAATATATAAGGGGCCCTGTGACACAATGTCATGAAACCTCATTATTAAGGCAGCCATGTTTTGTATTTTTTCGTTTTTTTCTTTTTGACTTTCAGCATTATTATTTTCTTTAGTGGTTGAGGTTTGCTTCTTGTTGTTACACTTATACTTTTGATTCATTTTAGTAGCCCTTTTGTTATTTCTGTAATGTTTCATGTAAGAAGTCCGTTTTTTTTCTGCTCCTGTGTCTTGGATTTGCATTTATTATTTCCACTACTGTTAGTGCTTATTCTTAAATTGTTTACATCAGAATTGTGTTTTCTTTTTCGACTTCCATTATTTACTAGTACAACATTTGTATTCTCTTTAGTGAGTGAACTTTGTTTATCACTGTTACATTCATAGCTTTGATTCATTTTACCAGCCCTTCTGTTATTTCTGTAATAATTCATGTAAGAATTCCATTTATTTTTTTGCTCATGAGTTTTGGATCTGCATTCATGGTTTTCACTGTTCTTAGTACTTATCCTAACATCGTTCAGATGGGAATAATTGTGTTTTCTTTTTCGACTACCATTATTTACAAATACAGCATTTGTATTCTCTTTAGTGGGTGAACTTTGTTTATCACTGTTACGTTCACAGCTTTGATTCTTTTTACCAGCCCTTCTGTTATTTCTGTAATAATTCATGTAAGAATTCCATTTGCTTTTTTTTTCATTGCTCTTAGTGGTTATTGTAACATCATTCAGATTGGAATAATTATTGTGTTTTCTTTTTCCAGTACTATTGTGTACTTGTTCAGGAAGAACATTTTGTTCTGTAAAATTGAAATCACTATTGTGACTTCTGTAAGGGTGCTCATTTCCTGAGTAAGAGCTATTTGGTATTGTTGATACATAATGCACTTCGTTTACATGACCTATATATATTGTTCTTGGTTGCTGTGATGATGAATGGCGTGGCTCTATTAAAGTTGCCTGTCCAAAATTTATGTGAGATTCTACAATATAAATTTGTATATTAAGTGATTCGGCAACTGCTTGTACAATTAATGCATCACACCATGTACCTTGCATTGACATATTTGTCAAGTAACCATTCCATGAGTTCTGAGTGTTGCTTTCAATGAAACGTTCAGGGTTATCCCTGAGGTATTGGACAGCAGCTTGTCTGATGTGAAAGTGATGACTGGGATTACCATACAATTGATGTGATACGGCTTTAAAAAAGCAGTCACCTGCACCACCCACATCTAAAGCTATCAATCCTAACTGTCCTAATCGAAAGCAATGTTGAGGAATCCACTGACAAATTGGTCTGATTGTTCACATTCTGTTCGGGACCTGGATTTAATTCAACGTCACCTGATCTCAAAAGATTCATCATTGATACGCAATATGTTTTAGCCGGGCAAGTTGATTTTTTAATTTTACCTGAACAACAGCTACTAGTTTGCTTTCTTTTTTTTGACTTTTTTGTTGCCAGTCTTTTAAAATTGACTAAGGAAGTAATAAAAGCGTTGCATTTTTGTAAATACCGTATATACCACAATTTATAGTGAGTAACCAAGTCATACAATCTTGAAGATTTAGGGGTACATTTCTTAAAAATAAACTTTAGCTTGCTTCTAGCTTTTCTCTTTTTCATATAATTTAGGACCTTTTTCACAGGTATTCTAGATGGCTCTCGGTCTCTATGTCGTTTTACTTGTTTAACGAACTTGGAATTTTTCCGAGGGGAATGTTTGTGGAATTCTTTCGATGGCGGTACATCAACAATGGAAGCTCCCACAACAAATCTTACATCTGTTTTTAAAGATCTGTTAGAAACTATCCTTAGATAACAAATATCATGAATTGTACTTCTACACTTCCCTTGTAGGTTAAAAATTGCAACAGCTTTCGCAAATGTCTGGCCAGTGAAAGGTATTTTCACTTTAGGGGCGATTTCATTTCCCAAACAGCGGGTTAAACAGGGCATATTTCCCTCAGTGGGCTTTATAATCCCCAAAAGGGGCTCAATAATTCCCGTAGTGGGCTTTTCTCTCCCCAAATGGGGCTCATTTATTCCCCGAAGGGACTTTCTTTTCCCCAAATGGGGCTCATAAAGCTTATTTTGTGTCCAAGGCACTCGCAATATCGCCGAGTGATGATGCTGTTGGCGCCAAGAAAGCTTCCATCGATCTACAACTTCAAAGCATCTTTCAAAACCTTTCACACGGCCGGACAAACAAGTAGTGCGAATGCTGTGGCAAATGGACAAAATACCCTTTAAGAAATCCATCACAAAGATGAAAAACGAAAAGATCACTTACCTAGCAGCAACAAACACTGCAATAAGCTCACGTGAAATATACAACAAGATGGCGGACCTCTTCCTTCGAAAGCTGAACGGAAGCACATGGTTGTTGACGAAGTTGACGTTTCCTTTTCTCGTATTTGATTGGTTCCGAGTCTTTCCGGAAATTAGTTGTGTGCCACGAGCTGTTGGCGTTGTCCATTTCTCAAATCCGATTGGTTCCAATATTCCCCAGAGGAACGAATTTAACCCGAAAGTATTACACCCGAAAGTATTACAGGCTACCGAAAGTATTACACTTTGAGAATACTTCATGTAACATGTCACGAAATGGAATCCACGGTGAAACGTCATGAGAAAATCCGCGATTTTATCTTATATGAAGTAATGGTCGCGCGTTTTACAGCTTATCATTGTGTCTGCATGCAAATGCAGCAGACACAAAAACGGGCAAAAAAGCGCTAATGGGTGACTAACAAATAAACTGACTTTAAAGCCTACCTGACATTTACAGTCCATCATTGCCAATAACAAGGAACAGTCTGGCAATACTGGACAATTTTTAAGGATAGAAACATTTCCATCTTTCTTGCTATTAGAAATACCAGTAAAGGACTAAACCTTTAGTATGCTTCTTACTTGTTTAGGAAAGCTTCAAGAGTTTTGCTCCTGTATTTTGGGGGCCTAGACACCCATCCTCCTTCGCCTTCATCAGTATCTGTGTCATCATCGTCACTAGACATGTGCTCTTTACTTAACTTTGCGAAGGCACGGGACTCAGTCTCATCCTTGACATAAGCTTTTCTTCTCTCATATTTCTGAGATAAAGAAAAATTTGCTTTTTAGTACTTTTCAACTAACTTTCATTGCATCATTCAAAATGTATCATTTAAGTTATTTTAATGCATATTAACTGTATACTAACTCTTTCTTTTCGAAGATTTTTCTTATTTTTCAATTTTATTCCATCCGTTATTTTTCCAATGGCAGTCCTCCGTAAATGCTCATGATACTTTTTGGCAGTCCCTGAAAAAAACAAAAAAGGCTTTAATTTCAAAATTGCGTGATTGGGGCCTTATTATCTGTTATGGACAATACATCTTGGTTGCAGTGGTGTCCTCTAGTTTTAAATTGCTTATATAGTAAACTTACGTTCTAATGCTCGTGATGAGACATGTTTGCTGGTGGGCTTTAAATCTTGTCTTCTCAACAAATATATCCGATAAAACTTTATGAAAACAACTCTAACCCGGCAAAAATAGCAATTCTCTGCATGTTTTTGCAAAATTAACAATTAGTGACTGGTAAATGACTAAAGGAAAGACTGGTGATGTAAGGTAATCAAGGTTATTCTGCTGCCATAATAATACTAATGATACTAAAAGGTTTTATATGACATTAATATCCTAATGTTCAAAGGCGTTTTACAACACCAGTGAAAATCTTAAAAACTCAGAATAAGAATCAGTCTAAAAGTAATATCAAAAGGTTTCTTTTTAAGTCTTTTTCTAAAAATGGGCAGCGCCAAACTATTTTTAATGTCATATGGCAAAGCATTCTACATTGTTAAGGCTGCCACAGAGAAGCATCTAGCACCATATGTTTTTAAGTTGTGTGACAGAATAAAAAGATTTCTAACTGATTTATGTAATTAACCCAATGGGGTGTAGGGTGTAAGCATATCCCATATGTTCAATGGTGCCAAGTTGTTGAGTGCCTTATGGGTTATGAATCAAATTATAAAATTATGCAAAGATTCACTGGAAGTCGATGGGTACAATATGATCATTCTTTCTTGTAAGGGTGATGAGTCAAGTAGCGGCAGTTTGGATGTGCTGTGAGGTAGGCCATAAAGTAGAGCATTACAGTGAGCCAACTTTGGAGACTTAAATGCATGAACTTGTAGTTCAGTGATGGACAGCATTAGGAGCTTCATGATGCAGTTGATGTTTCAGAGATGATAAACAAAGATTTTCAAATATTAGCAACATGTTCATTGGAACAAAAGTGACTATCAAATAGTACACCAATATTCCTCGTTTTCTGCGAGGAGTGAATGGTTTCTTCACAACTGAGATATCTCAAAGAAGTGGTCTTAAAACATATTTGGTGGAGATTGTCAATAGTTCAGTCTTGTCTCTATTTAGATCTAGGGTAATTAACCAGCATCCAGTGATTACTTTCATTGACACAGCTCTCCATGTCAGACACAGTTAGATCTCTATCACCAGGTATAGTTGGCTGGATGAACAAATAGAGGTGTGAGACATCAGCATAGAAATGATAGCTTGAATT